TCTTATATTTTATATTAGGGGAATTGTCTAAAACTCACCATGAATTTGCAATATTTCTCTTAAACTCACCACAACTTTTCAAAATGTCTAAAACTCACCATATCATTAAGTTTTTATTTTCCAAAACTCACCTTCTATTAGTGCACCGTTAATGCTTCTTAACAGAGTTGTCCATGTCAGCATAAACAACAATTTTATGACCAAATTACCCTTAAATGGCGAGTTAGAGGTAAGATGGTCTTTTTCAGTTTTCAATTTTCTTGTTTTTTTTTTTGCATTTTTAGTGTTTTGTTATAATTTCCAATGTTTTTTATAATTTCTGTTTTTTTACATTTTCTATTTTCTACAATCTATAAATTTTCTTGTATTTTTTGTTATTTATTTGTAATTTCTGTGTTTTTCTATAATTTTTGGTGTTTTTTCTACAATTTTTATTTTTTGATTTTGTTTTTCAATTTATATAGTTTCTATAGTTTGAAAATAATTTTTTATTTTGTTTGCAATTTCTATAATTTTTTATATTTTTTGTTTCTATGTTTTTATGTATTTTATATTTGAAAATATTTTTTAAACTTTTTCCTTTTTTTCATGTCTAAATATTAAAATGGTAATATATTAACACCTGTTAATTTATTTGTATATATTTTATATTTTTCTATGAAAGTTACACTACAAGAAAATGACTTTTACTGCCGCTAAAAGTCTTAAAAACTGCCGCTAGTTATAGTTTTAGCAGCAGTCGTGACTGCCGCTATAGAGATGCACCGACTGCCGCTAAATCTATTATATATTTTTTTTTCGCACCTACCCAAATAACCTGAAATCCGTTCAAAATAACCTGTAATTATTTTTAATTACTAAACAAGATTTTAATTTGCTTCAAATAACCCATTTTATATTCAATCATCCAAATTGAAATGNAATATATTAACACCCGTTAATTTATTTTGTATATATTTTATATTTTTTCTATGAAGGTTAAAATGGTAATATATTAACACCCGTTAATTTATTTTATATTTTTTATAGATATATAATGCTTTATATATGAAAGATATTGGCCCAAAATCAGGCCCTGCCCGGCCCAGACCCGTGTAGACCTAGGCTAGGGCTTATGCTTCAGGCCTAGAACCTCGAACTGGGCCAGGCCGAGCCTAAGCTATAGCCCTTATCATAAGTGCAAAGCTCAGCCCGGCCCATGATCACCCCTAACTGTAGCCATCTTATAAAAAATAAAAAAAATAATAAAATCCTTTAATTAGTTATAGAACCATCACATACACATGTGGCCAATTTTTTTTTTTTTTTTTTTTTGAAAAAGCCCGATTCCAATGGGAATATTGGGTTCACACTCAGGCACAAGAGGAATATTGAGCGTATAATATTTTTTATTATATAAAATATTATGAGGCTTATGCCTGGGCTTGGGCTCGGGCTCGGGCTCAAGCTGGGATTTTTGAAAAGGCTCGAGCCCGGCCCAAAAGGCCTAGTGTTTTGGACCCAAGCCCAAATCCATGGCCCAGAACTAATGTCCAAGCCTGACAAAGAACGGGTTGGGCTGGTCCTGCCCCATCAGACTTCCCAATCCATAAACAGGTCTGAACAAAAAAGGAATATTATGAACAAATATAGTAATTAGATTTATTAATGTGCCAAATATAATAGGCTGCCATACAATTTGGCAGAACGGAGTTTATGAGATAAAATTCTATAATTTTAATAAGTTGATAATGAATTCTTGTTTCATTATCACCACCTGGAGTAAAGTTTGGGGCCTTGTAAAAAAAATAGTAAGATTTCGTACGTGCAACTCCTGAAGTAGGATATAAGTAAATTGAAAGAGATCAGGAGTTGTTTGTAACGGCTAGAGTTGGAAAACTGAAAGAACTCTAGTTCTAGGGTAAAGTAATGAGCCCAACTTCAGATTCTGCCATAAACTCGCAACCTCCTTAATAATTTATCCACTAGAAAACAAAACAATAAGCCATTCAGTTCAGTCACTTGTTATCCGTATGTATTGATGGAATTTTTTTCCGTTTTTTTTTTTTTGAATCAATTGATATGGATAGACTAGCTTTATTTTTATTTTATTTTCTTTCAATTTTGGGGTCATATTGAATTCATACTTTTTAAAATATTACATCATTCATTTATAGCTGTCAGATATGCTACGTATTGATTAATTTATTAAATAAAGAAAAAATAAAAAATTTCATGTGAATATAAACCCTTCTTGTATCCGTTACTTTTGTATTAAGAAAAAAAAAAAAACCAATTAGAATGGCTGATTAGCTAGCTGATAGAAATGACAACGTAGCAGGGCAGAGAAGAGCCACTAGCCGACCGGGCCCCACTCCCCATCATTTTTTATGATATGAAATTTATTTTTACTTCATTCTAAGTTTTTGTTTTTATATATTCAATCATATTTTTAAAGATACTAAAGTGAAATAGTTACAATTCATAAGAAAATGAAAAATGCTTAACAAAAATACTATGTAACAAATATAATCAGCAATTAATCCATAAGGCTACGTTTGTTTATGGTGTAAATATGGGCAGGTGTAATCGACATTTGGATGGAGTGTAGTTAAACCTAACAAATCGACGAACTTCATTTACATCAAGTCTTGCATCGATAATAGATGTAAATACAAGTTCAATAAAAGGGTGTAAATATTTGCATCGATAATCACTCTTTCTAGTTTACAACGGTCCATGACTTTAATTAAGTCGATAGGTGTAATACTCCATCGATGTAATTTTACTTTTACACCGCATTCAAATACAGCCTAAGAAAATAATTAAGGCGGGGAGAGTATTCTTCTCTTTCCCCACTAAGGAATATGCTTGTAGAAAATCATCCCCATCCTCACCAGTGAAATGGAGAAGATTGACATCCCTAATTACATGAATTGAATTTTGGAACCAAAGAACACTTAGAACTTCCTTCTATTTTTCATATAATTAATAATCAATACCTTATTGCACATTTGCACTTTTGGCTTAGGAAGAAATATAAATATGTAAAGTGCAAGACCTTTGTATTTTGTATGTATTTGTACTCCGAGAAGTTCTATCAAAACTCGGTTCAAATATGACCTGTATATACTTCATAGCATTAATTTTGGTCATGAAATGGGTTATTAAATTCAAAAAGTTGCACCAAATCAAGAGCAAAGGGAGTCGTATGGTCATCTAATCATTCTGATTCAATTTGCGACGGTGAATCAACATGCGGCATGTGCTGAGAGCCCCCCAAATACCTACTACTACTACTAGGCATCTTTACAGTATTATTAGATGGGCTAGATGCTAGGGACGTCGACTCACCCCATGTGCACCTCCTGCTGCCGGCTGCCGGACATGGCTGCATGCATCCAAAATGCCCGCAACTTCTGCAGTCAACAGCAGGAATGGATCGGACGATGGTCGATCGACGGATCTCCTTTCGTTTCATTACTGGGTGGGGAAGCATTAGCATTGGAACAATGGAAACTCAGTTGAATTCTGAGTCTGAGCCTGCTTCCTTTTCTTCAAACCAATGTACCAGAATCATTTTCAACGCTCAGTCACCCACATTAAATGCTTCCCCCAGTTCAAACTTGGATGAACGTCCAGACTGTCCGGACTTATTTCGATATTAATGCCTTCTTCGTACTATAAATTCGCTCTCTCTCTCTCTGTCCGAGAGACTCACCACAAGTACTCCTGCGGCTGCTGCCTGCAAATGCATTGGAGAATGTTACCAACTCAAAACCGTAAGACCGTCATTGTACTTTCGTAAAACAAACGGTCCAGATTCCAGAATCAAAAACATAAAGCAGGTATCTCTTTTGTAGTTGGAAACTACTTTGAAACTTTGAACTTTGTTTTCATTTGAAAGATGGAAAGGAAAGCCTCAGAGGGTCGAGCGTTGCCCCGGTCAGATAACAATGTAAAATTCAGCCAAGCTTAGCAGCTTTTCCCCTCCTCTCTTTCTCTCTTTCTCTCTTTCTCTCCCTCTCTCTCCCCTTCTCTCTGTGTGAGAAACTGAAAATAGAGATAGCCAATTAGAAATGGATACGTGTAGAAAGCCTCCTGCATTCCTGCTGCAGCAACAGACCACGCGTGCGCCCACTTGGACGAACCCCCCTCANCCCCCCCCCCCTGCAGGTCAGTCACATTTTGACGAGCAACTGCGGCACTCCCGTAGTCGGTAGTACCATGACCACCCTCACAAACCACAGCCACCTTCATCACAGTTCATCCTCTCAACTTTTCTTCAACACAGTGAGTTTTGATCATCATTATTCTTCCTTTTTTTGATGGAAATTTTCCATCATTATTCACTATCATGAAAACCCACAACGAAAATCTCTCCCTCTCTCTAAATTCTCATCATGATTCCTTCAATGAAAGAAATTTTCAAAAGAAAAAAGAGATAGAGCACTTCTCCAAAAGATCGAAGTTATTCGGCGAAAGAGACCTCACCCAGGTATATGATATCTTTAAGCTGTTGGCTAGGTGCTAATTACATGCTTAGCACTCTTGACTTGATGCAGTCACACTGTATCATACTCTTGACTCGTCTTTCAGCTTTCGAAATTCAAATCAGTGTTCTGAGCCTGAGGTTTTAAGCAAATAATCTTGCTCTGAGTCTGAGCAGTCTTCCCACAAAGATTTAGACAAAGGGTGAGCTAGTAAACGGAAAGTGACTTGAATAGGACTAACGGGTTCATGTCTCCAATCTTCTTCGTGAAAAAAATATATATTAGTTTCTGTGTGCGTATCTTTTGTAAGCTTTCTGCTCTATTCTATCTATATTCAACAATGGTGGCGGATAAGGTCGTGAAGCAAACAACCAACAAACAAGCAGACAGACCCCACAAAAGCCACCATGGAAGCAGGTTGGAGATTGCCATTGTTGGGTTGGTAGGGACATGTTTGTATATAAATATAAAGGATTTATTATATTTTTATATAAGATAGCAGACAGGAGATATCAGATGATTCAGAAGTACCAAAACCCGCATAACAGATCAGTAATATAAAAAAATATATATTAGAGAAGAGTAGAGCAAGCACACGAACTCCTAACAATCTAGTTGGATAATGATACAGAACATTGAAAGCAGCTTCAGAAGGAAACATTCAGCTACAATCCTATCAATCTTCTGTTCAGTCCACCAGTTAGTTCCTGTAAGTGTTGTTTTCTCTGCTCCTTTAATTTCTCTTTTACAAAGGACAAGATCATTACCCATAAACCTGAAGTTTGGATGTTTATCTTTCTCTCTTTCTCTGTAGTTTGTGCTAATCTGCTGCTTGCTTCGGGGATGGAGAATCGGCACTTCCCGAGGGGGCTCAACACTGAGTCTGAGTCCTGACATAGAATATCTGAAGAACTGACAGTATCATCAGATCAGAAGCTGCACCAATAGGAGCAAAACCCAACTTCTCGAGAACGAAATGGAAGCCGAAAGGAGACCCTGAAAACCTTGCGAGTGGGCTAATCGAAAGACAAAGAGAAAAGACAAGGAACACTTGCAAACCCACAAGAAGTAGCCATGAGAACTGTGAATACCAGAAAGGAAAATATAGCAGAAAAAAGAGGAATGGAAGGTGGTTGAAACACTGACACGACCAAACCAACAACTAAGAGGGAATAGTTTCTGAGGGAGAGTTAGAATAGAAATAACTGCAATCAATCATAGATTCAAAGCAAAACTGAGGAAATCTGGAGATGGGTGTCTCAGATTTCTTCTCTTCTATGATGTATATCAGATTTCAGTATGGAGGACGTGAGGTGGGAGGCCACGGCAAGACTTCAGGGGGGATCTGGCAATTCAAAGGGCTCGGAGCTGCAACACTGTAAACAGACATGGACATGCTACTCGTGCAAGAATCGCTTCCACCCACCATGTTACCAGCTTTAACGTCCTCGCTTTCTTCGTCTTCACCAGGAAGACGGTGAAAAGTAGGGTTTACAAAAGATGCCGCAACTAGAACTATGGTGCTCCCAGCGACGAGTGATCCTGCAACAGTCCCTCCAAACACCTGCCCGTGACCTCCTGCAAGAGAGATAGTAAATGGAGACGATTTCGCAGAGGAAGATGAGGACGAGGACGAAAACCCAAGAAAGGTGCCTGAGAGTGAGAGAATGTGGAAAGGGCCATTTAGAGTGAGCGTTGATGCGTGTGCAGTGGGATACCGGAGGGTAACGTTCGCCACAGTGCCTGAACCGCTGAGGACGGAGAGACCCACGTGTCGGCGACGAGCAAACTGTGAGACCATCTCGACGACGTCGGACCCGGCGGAAACTTCGAGGACGACTGGTCGCATGGCGCAGTCGCTGTCTCTGGTAATAACGATTGGTGGCTTGGGTTTGTTCTTCGACCCAGGTGGTCGGCCTCTCGGTTTCCGAACGACTTCCACCGTCGACCCAGCATCTCCCTCGGTCTTGTTGCTGCTGCCGTGGTTGATCTTGGTCTTGGTGACTCCACCACTACTACCTCCAACACCACCACCGACCATGAACGGGCCGCCGCTTCTGGCACCGTGCTCGTCGTCTTCGTCGTCGGAGGTGTGACAGTCCCGAGCTTGTGAGAGGGAGATCGCGCCTCCATATTCTGCCATCTCTCACAGGTTGCCCTGGTTATCTATCTAAACTCTGCGAAATAAAAATGGAGTTTTTTTTTTCCGGGTCTAAAATCAGAAAAATGAGAGTAAGGCCTCTGCTTTTATAAGCTGATCTGTCTGATGCCTGAGAAGTGAGAACCCTGGCTTGGTCACCGACCGGGGTTGATGAACGTCTACTACCACTTAACTGGGTCCCGCGCCAATGCATGGCCCCCACTACTGCTTCAGTCACATCCCGAACTCTCTTCATTAGATTCTATTTCTACTACGAGCTTATTTCCTATTTCAATTCTTCTCAGTTCTCTCCAGTCTCCATGAAGTATTGTAGTGGTGGAATTCGGGTCGGGTCGAAGTCAAACCATGTCAAGTCCGGGTAAAGGGTTTCTCGATTCTCAACCCTAATCCATTGGGTCAGGTTGTTCCAGGCATCAACCGACTCTAGCCCAGACCATCTAAAATTGGGTTCGGTTGAACTTAAAAAATTACCGATTTGGGTGAACCGGTAATTTATGAAATCCAAGTTAATTAATCAATTCCACTTGCTAAAACCTCCTACATCAAGTGAGTTTAACAATCCAAATGACTCGAAATAATCATGATCATCATCTAACCTTCAACTTGAACAGATATCATTTCTTATATTGTTGCTGTAAATGACCAAACCATCTTACGCTACTTTCTCTCATTTTATCGCCTATTGAGGATAAATTTATCTCGAGTCCTATTCTTTTATGATTTTCTCATTCATCCATTCATCTCAAAATTAAAGATTTTTACCACATTCAGTTTTTGTATATCTCTTGACCATCTAACACTCTACTCCATATGAATATGATATTGGTGGTCATATAAATGTTTTATATATAAAATTTTTGTTTTACCTTAAATGATATTCTTCTATCACATAAGACTCCAAATGCACTTCTTGATTTTGCCCATCTCTTCCTCCCTCTTCCCCTTTGTTACGGATTACTGAATCAAGGTAATAGAAAAGGTCAATGTGAGACGTTTCTTGGTCTCTAATCCTAAGCTTAGAGACCATAAATTTGGTCTTATATTTTATTCTTCTATACTTTCATCTATTAATACTGTGTCATCAACAAAGATATGCGTCATGCCTAGGACTTCCTAGGCACCTCCTTAGAAAGATGTTTAGTTAATTCATTAATGACTACTATAAATAAAAGCCTATTAGGAAAAGCCCCCATTGTAATTGGAAACTTTGGTTTTTTTCCCATAGGTGTTGGGTTGGAATAGGGATGGGTTCATGGCCTGACTTCTTCACTTTTCTTTTTCTAAATATTTCTGTTTCTTTGAATTGAGATTAAATGCATTAAGGTTAATCCACATTAGCAGTATTATACCTAGAAACACATAAATATGGTGCTTTGTGAATATTATACTAGAGATGGGATCTCCTGCCAACAAACCACGTTCCAACCCTCTACCAACTTGATCTAATACCGAACATCTCATCAGGGAATTGGGACCCACCATAAAAGTGAGACCTGCTATGTATGAGATGTGTGGTGTCAGTAGACTGTTGGATTCTATTTTATTGGCAGGTGATCAGACATCATTATACTCATGTTATACTAAAAATTGTTTGCCTTTAAGCTTGAAGCTATTAATACATATATGTACATGTATACATTCTTGATGCATAGTTTCATATATACAAAAATGTTTGTACAGTATTTATACATAAAGCTATATATGAAGACACATTCAGGTTGTGGACAAGAAAGCCCAATACCTCAATCCTACCCACTAAGGCTCAATTTGGAAGGAGTACAAATGCAAATATGAAGAGTGCAAAACCTTATATTTTGCATTATTTTGTATGTATTTGCGTTGTACATATTTGCATTTGTACTCTTTCCAAACTCAACCTAAGTTGTTGGGTTCAAAAATTTAACTTAGGTAACTAAATTTGTCCTTCGATAGATATATAAATAAGGGTAAATTGAATATTAGTACCTCATACTCTGGGCTTAGTCTCACTTTGGTAACTAAATTTCAAAATGTGCCAATCTAGTACCTGAACTCACAAAATGTTATAGTTTAGTCCCTATTGTTAGCAGTCTATCAGTTATTTGTATCATGTGATGACATGTGTGACTTAAAATTTTTAAAAATATCAAAATTATCCTTCAAAATAAGACATTGTTCATCATTTTCTTTCTTAAGAATCAAGGTTAAACCAAAGCAATGGTAAACAACTCAAAGGACATTTGGATTTGGGCATTTGGATGGTTAATAAAGAAAAGTAGGTGACACCCAAAGGGCATTTGTATCCTTTCACATGCCACTTAACTAGGGGTGGCAATTTTCCCTGTCCCCGATGGGTACCCGGGCAGGCTCCACGACCCGACGGGGTCAGGGATGGGGGTACCCTTTCACCATGTTGGCCTGCGGTCTTCACCTCCTCCTGTGCGGGTTACTCAAACATAGTCATGGCTTATGCTCTCACGGCCCTCGAAACTACGCTTCACCTCGCTGGTTCGAGCTACATGTTCGCTTGAGGGGGCCCCACTGCTGCTGCCTCAAGGAGATCTGACCGCTTCAAAAGCGAGTGTGGCAACTTTTACCCATGAGTTGCCGAACATGCACTCGCCTTGTGATGAGCTTCTGCTGCTGCAAGTGTTCAACCTGAAAACTGAGCATGTCCACCTGATACTTTGCCGGTGTAGGGCCGCCATGCTCCAACGGCTAGCGTAACCACATTCCTAACAAGGCCCATGTGTCTGCCCCCGCATGAGGAGTACCTTGGCGGGGTCGGGGTTAGGGATGGGGCTACCCCTGAATCCCTGATCGGGGACGGGGACGCGAAATGCAATCCCCGCCCCGACCTATCCCCGATTAATATATATAATTATATATATTATTGTATTATATATTATATAATATATTTATATATTATAATAATCATTATTCATTTTTTAAAAGATTAAAACTTAAAAAAAAAGTAAAACAGTCAATGACTCGATAGTAAAACCCTTCGACTTCAAGTCTTCGACAGAACCCTAGTTTCGTCTTCCTTCGTCAGTTCGTCTTCGTCGCCAGTTCGTCGATCGTCACCGACCGCCTTTGTCATCGCCTCACCCTTCGAATTCTTTCTCATCGCCGACCTCAGCTCTCGCAAGTCGCAACGGTCCTCTCTCTCTCTCTCTCTATCTATCTATCTATCTATCTATCTATCTATCTATCTATCTATCTATCTCTCTCTCTCTCTCTCTCTCTCAAACTCTCATTCTCAGTCTCTCTAAGACTCAAACTCTCTGTCTCCAGTTCGTCAGGGATTTGGGTCCAATGGGGATGAACTCCCTGTTGGGGTCGGGGATGGAGGGGGGATTCCTTTCCCCGCCAGGGATCGGGGACGGGGATGGGGGTGATTTGGGGGTCGATGTTGGGGATGGGGAATGTAATCCCCGCCCCAAACCTGCCTCGTTGCCATTCCTACACTTAATAGTGGTTAACAATTTTGGACTAAACTGAGACGATTTAGGAGTTCAGGTACAGAATTGGCACATTTTAAAATTCGGGTATAAAAGTGAGACTAAGCATAAAGTACAGGGTACTATTCTGCAATTTACCCTATAAATAATTATCTATAAAAGTATTCAGTGGTAATAACATTGAATTCATCCATTAAGGAGTTGACAACTTATTTGATGATTTATTTGCTAATAGACAAAGCAATAAGTCATTCAGTAAGATACATTAGTCATTACCAAATTCTTTTGAGTTTTCAAGCTTGAATCATTAACTTTAGTGAAAAGGTAAAATTATAGATATCAAATGATGAAGACTAATATGTAAAGATGCTAAAGAGAGCCAATCCATTGAATACTATTGTGGTAGTAATTTGGATATTAATCCCTATATTAAATGATAATAATTTTTTATATAAGGGTACTCTTGTCCTTTTAGGGAGTGGGCTTTAAGCTGTGTTTGGTTTGAAATAAAAAGTAGGAAAAGGAAGGGAAACCTGTACAAACATTGTATAGGTTTCCTACTTTTTCTTTGAACCCAAAGATAGCCTTAGTTCATTCCTACCATGGTCGGACGCTTTCGTCCACCACCTATTGATTTTTCTATCTAAATGCTAAATTTTAGACCTCAAACATCTTAAACCCTAACCCTAAAATCTAACTATATAACCTTGAACCTTAAACCCTACAACATAAACTTTAAACATTTGAACTCTTAAACCCTAAAATCTAACTATATAACCTTGAACCTTAAACCCTAAACATAAACTTTAAACATTTGAACTCTTAAACCCTAAAATCTAAGTTTAAAATGCATTTGGTTGGATACATATCCTCCGACCGGATAGGAGACAATATTTCCTCCTAGTGAACGACTAGAGGTGTGTGCACTTTTCATATATGTTTAGTTAAAGTGTGTTTGTACCATGTGCTCAGTTTGGGAAGAGTACAAATACAAAAATATGTACAGTGCAAAACAACGTTTACAAGTACAATAAACAAAGGGTTTGAATTATACATATTTGTATTTGTACTCTTCTCAAACTGAGTCATAGTCTCAACCAAGTATGGTGAGTTATAGACTATTGGGCCTTACAATGGTGTATTTAAAATAGTGCATTATGGGGTAGTCTATTTTGTACCTTGGTGGTGTGGTGCGGTCCAAAATATTGGGATTTGAAATGTACTGGTTATTAGGTAAAATGTAAAGTGTGATGTATTAGGGTTCGCATCAGCGCCCCACAGGTTCCCCACACAATGAAACAAAGATACCTGTCCTTCCACACGAACTCCATCTTTATGTGTGCGGAGCTCACAAGTGCTAGGCTACTAGTTAAAGGGGATCCCTTTCCCTCTCGACCCTCTTTTTTTATTCGACTTTGGAGGAGAACCCTTGTTTACCGTCCTTTCGTCTCCGATCGAAATCTTCTGTTTTTTTTCAATGTCGGCGTTCGTTCCGGGTAGTCACACCGTTGAAAGGTAATCAATTCTCCGTTTCTCTCATCTTTGTCACACTTTCAACTCCTGTATTCTTATTATTTTTTTCTTTGGACTCTATTTGGAAAGAATACAAATACAAATACGTATTATATAAATACATACAAAATATAAGATTTTGCACTC